ATTAAAATTACCACTCACTCACTAACTGTTAGATTCAAATTAAAATCCATGAATACATACATTGGCATACTTCCAGTCCAAAAAATTCTAATCCTAATTAATAATAATAACTAATCATTTTACAAATTAAATAACTTAGATTTTAATTTTTTTTTTTAAAAAAATAGTATTTTTATTTATTCTAAATAAATTTATGCATTCATGTGTAATAAATACACAGAATTCTCAAAAAAATATTCACTATCTCTAATTGTTTACTAATAAATTGTTTATGTACATAACGCTCATAATTTCTACTGAATAATTTTTACTGAAAAAAAAGAATTAAAACGCTTTTTTTTATGTTTCGAATAAAACTGATATTATTAGTTAATTACTTGCATTCTTATTCAATTAGAAAAGTTTTCATCTGAAATAATGCAGAAATAATCTCCTACTTTTCTGTAAATGACAAAAAGTGATTTAACCGATTTCGTACGAGAAAAAAAATCTAATTAAAATGAAGCACGAGAAACAGAATCACCGTGTGTGTGTGTGTGTGTGCAGATGAAGAGTTTATCATGTAAGATTTACAAAGAAATCAGGGAGCAGAAGTAGTTCTATGAAGCAATAGACGGTTTAAGAGATAAAAACGGAGAGAGAAACAGAGAATTCAAAAGAATTATCATTTACTTTTTTACATGAATTCATTGGCAGATAAAAAAAATGATTTAGAGTAATTTCTAATGACACTAGACTGACCAAGATGATGATAGTGATGATGATGATGATGATGATGATGATGAGGTGGATTAATTATTTAAAATAAAAGTGAGAATGAAACTAATAATTAACAATGACAGTTTACTTATCAATGAATTTATCTTTCTGACTTTCTGTCTTCCTTGCTTTTAGATGCATAGATGCCATTTTCTATATTCAACGTATTAATTGTTAATTTGTCCAGTTTCGTCTTTTTTTATCATTGTTAATACTGTGAATGAATGAATGAATAAATGCGTAAATAAGAGATTAAGTGAAATAGTAATCAGCATAATAATAATAATACATTAAGCACTTGTTCTACGCGCGTTAATCATACAGCTACTCATTAGAGAATTAAAACAAACAAAAAAAATCCCATTAAAAATAATACATTATCATTTGAGTAAATGAGATGATTTACAAAATAAAATAAAATAAAAAAAATAGTAAGGCCTATACAATCTCCTAATTGAAATGCTTGTTGCATTATTTTTTTAGTTATGAATTAATACAGATAATGTGTAACAGTTGATTACTCATAAACAATATAAACATACATACATATATACATGTGGATAATTTGAAAATGTCTAATTATAATGATTAATTTGTCTATCAGTAGTCTCCAGTAAACAACAAAACTGAAATGTACAATCAATTGAGGCAATCATAGTACACTACTTATTTGTTTGTTAGTAGTATCTGTTGTTGTGAGTCATTGTGTTACACGTTTTATTGTTAGTTTTTTATTGACAATCAAGTCTATTTCTATTAACTAAAAATGCAGTAAATTATTTTTAAATTATCGTTGCACGTGACTGTTCATTTTGCCATAGATGTATGTTTGTGATATGATAAGAGAGATGCACAACTTGTCATTTAAATATATGAGAATGCTTATTCATTGATGTATTTATTTCAAACTGGGATATATGATGATTGGCTTATTTATATTCATTTATTTTACTCTTAACTTTGTTATGATTATTTAGTGAAAGAGTCAATTTATGAATGACAATGAAATGAGTAACGAAATGAAAGAGTAGTTTAGCTTTAATGAAAATTACTTTTTCTGACTTTGAAATATGTACTGCCAAATAGCATAAAACTTGTTTCTTTGTTAAAATGTTGCCTACCTCTGAACCACCAGCTTATATCTCACTCACCATAGTACAGGTGATATCGAGTCATTTAGATTAGTGGCCACATTGTAACTTGATCGATAGAATACATACAGTCAGCACTAGGAAGGACCTGACATACATGGCACTGGTCATTAGCCAGAGCTTCTTCAACAGGATGTCAGTCTGGGTCTTTATATCTCAAATGTAACATCTCTGGATGTCAAACAGTGACATGATGTTAAATCCTTTAAGGTTTATCATTTCCTTTGAGATATTACAGGTACACCTATCTGACGAGTACCAAATGAAAGATTCAGGGTTTCCTGTCGAATGCCTCAAACCGCCATTGTACAAATAACATTCACACCATATATATGAGTGTGATATAGCGCAGAAATATGATGAAAGAGTATTTGTATACAGTGGTAATGTTTCAGACTGTGAAGTTGGGTAATACAGGTTCAAATCCAGACAGAAACATCAATGTCCTCAGGATTATATGTTTTTCTTGTTAATGAATGTCGAGTAGCTCAAAATCTGGCTGTGATAATGTTTCTCCAAGGCCTCCTCCAACAACCTAGTATTGTGTCAACAAGTCCCTTGTTATACGACAGGAGAGGTATCATAAACAATCTTGTTAATTGTTTTCTGTTAACTAGAAAAGAGATTTGAACTAACGATAATCTTTTCTATCTTATAAGTAGTGAAATTTTTACCAAATAATTTACAAAATTTTGAGACAGAGTTTTGGAGGTTTGTGCTTTAACACATTTGAAATCATCAATCAATCAATGTTAGACTACCATTAGAAGAAACCTGGAAGCACTGGACGGCCGTTTCGTCCTGGTATGGAACTACTCATCAGCGGTGCGCATCCACGACTGCTGCACCTTGCAGGATTCGAATCCAGGACCTTCGGTATCGTGCCCGAAAGCCTATACATTGGACCACTGTTTCGGCATCCAACGGTGTTAATGACTAACTATAATTGATCTAGGGATTTTACGCGACCTCACCCATTTGTCTTTTGTAGTTACTGCCTACACCCGACAGGGTTGAACTCCATTGGTCACGTCTTCTCAACTAGGACTCCGAGAATTTCCTCACGAAACTAGTCACTAGTGAGCACTGTTACGATATTTTGGGGCAGAGTTTTGGAGGTTTGTGTTTTTTTTTACACAAAATGTTTTAAACCAAACCAAAAGAACGATTTTCATCAATTGGAGCTAGTTAGAGATACTTAGGCATCTACAAACCATAATGATTAGTTAATCATTCAATGAGATGGTGGAGAAAACTTGTAGCTCAGGTGAATGATTGTGGTGGTGTTTCGTTCTCTGAGTTGGTTGTTTTGGTTGTGTAAACAGTTGTTCTCGAGTGGATAGAGTGTCGTTGGAATAGTATTTTTCAATAGGATTGGTTAGATTATTAGAATGATAAACTATGAATTGTTAAACAGATGTTTCACCCATTTACTGTTTGCATCTACAAAACCAAATCCTTGATCTTGTAACATCACAAGGAATTAGTTTTGTTTGGGCTGCCTTGAGATGATGTAGAAGCCTGATAGAAATTCGTTACTTCAACCTCTCGCTAATCAAAATAGACATCAGAATCTATCCAATCTGTTAACTAACAAGAAAATGAATAGACAGCTGAAAGATAAGGTTAGAAGTTCAAATAATCAAACGAAATCACATAAGCAATTCATTTGTAGAGGTTGTTTGAATCTTATTGATGTTTAGGACTAAAAGTGATCAGTCTTTTTCGGTATATTTGCATCCTGAGCTAACTGCCACGATATTGCCAACAAGTCACAAATATTATAAGCAGAGATGAATAGAAGCTAGCAGTGGAATACAACTGACACATAATTATAAACAGTAGTCAATCAAACTCAAGGTTGACAGAATAAACTGTTAATGTAGTATGCAAGAGAAACTCTAATAGTTCACTTAATCTAGAAAGATATATCGATAATATTGTCTTGAAAGCCTACATAAGCTTCACAAATAAACTATCCGGCTCAGTGTTGGGGATGTTAGATCCTCAAAACTCGCTTGTTAAATGCCTTAGCTTTGGATTTCACGTTTGCCAGCATGGGCTGAGATCAGTTGACCTTGAGATTTCATTTCCCACCAGGAAAATCCATGGCTGTGATTGACTGCTGTGTATTTTCGTGTGCTATTTTCGTAACTGTCTCAAGGACGCTTCTATGATGTATAAATAAACGAAAGTTGTATGCTTGATTGCTGGGTGTTTGTAGAATATACTTTCTAAGCTTACAAAGTCTTCTATCCTCAGCTTGGGATTCAAGCTAGCCAATCTAGACGCTGGTGAACTGATAATAGCTTCAAGCGTACCTAGTGACGAACCCTACACTCAGAGAAAACAACACACCTCCAGAATTCTAGGTCATCGATATATGAACCAGTGTTTTTTTTTATCCGACTCCCAATAGTACTTAACCTCTCTATCAGTTACAATCTATGATCGAAATTTCAAATCTCCGCCTTTAAAACAAAACTTCATTCTCATTGAGTATATTAGTCATATCTTATTAGACGAAAAGATTTATAAATATTATTGGCGTTTATTTATTCAATAATGATGATATTGTCATTTGATAATCAGTTGCCCGCCTTTATCTACACTAATCATCAATAGTTAGGAGTTTATTTCTGAATTCTATTTTATCAACAACAACTTAGAAAGATAACGAAAACAGAAATGACAAGTAAGCAATAGAGTTTATATTCGACGATGATATTTAATCCTGACGGTAATCAACATTCTCCTTTTAATTGAATTTAAGTTATCTTCAATTATTCTCCTCTTTTTTCCCCTTTCTTTCTCTCTTTGTCTCTCTCTCTCTATCTATCTAGCTATCTCTATCTCTCTGTTTAGCTAATGTTTGAATAGATAATCATATTAACTGTATTGATGATAATAGCAAGAGATAAAACTTGCATTTTTTTATCGGTTTGGTTCGGAAAACGTAATTAGCTTTTTTCTTTCTAAAATGTTTATATTAAGATAGAAAATCAGATAGGTAACATCAATGGGATTGGATGAATGTGGTTTGTTTTGACTTAGTTGAATCGAAAAGTATGTATTGTATGGTAGTTAGAAATGGGTCAACAAGTACCGCTGTTTGATTTCTATACATTGTATTCATCTACAACATTACGGGGTTGTGAAGATTGTTAAGTTACACATTTTTGAAACCATGAATCGATCAATGTTAGACCACCATTAGAAATCTGGAAGCACTGAAATACAGCCGTTTCGTCCTGGTATGGGACTCCTTAGTAGCACGCATCCACGACTCCTCCTGCACCTCATAGTATTCGAACCCAGGACCTTCGGTCTTGCACGCGAACGCCTAACCTCTGGACCGGTGGGCCGGTATCTAACGTTGTTAATGTCTAACTTCGATCAATTCACGGAGTTGCGCAACCTCGTACATTGTCTCCAGTAGTTACTGTCTACACCCGGACAGGTTGAACTTCACCGGTCATGAAATCCTACTAGAACTTGGAGAAGATTCCTCACGAAGCTTGTCACTAGTGAGCACAGGATTCTGATAGTGGCTTAACATTTATCGATTCATGATTTCAAATGCGTAACTTAACAATCTTCGCAACTCCGTTATGCAATTACATGTACTCACTAGTGACTAGCTTCGTGAGGAATCTTCACCGAATTCTAGTGTGAAATCGTGACCGTTGAAGTTTAACCTGTTTGTGTGTGCAGACAGTAACAACCGAAGACCGTGTTTGAAGTTATGCGACCCCGTGAATTATTACTTTACTCATGATTTTTATCCACATTCTTTCTCTCTACACTACTGTAATTCTATGGAAGTGAATTAATTTCTCGTTCTACTTGTTATTTTTTTTCAAATTCAGGGTCCAGATGCTGAATATTTCGAATTGTTAAATCATACAACAAATTCACAAATTTCTAATTTATTTACATCTAAACCTAAAAATATTAAATCTTTACATCTTATCAGTCGTTTCACTTTAGATCGTGAACGTAAATCCGAGTATCGATTAATTCTCTTAGCTTATGATCAATCTGAACAATTAAAAATACGTCATACAGCTCAATTACCAATAAGTATTTCCATTAAAGAAGTCAATGAATATGCACCACAATTTGATTACGGCATTAATGTGACTCATCAACAAGGTGGCCATATTGTTCAACAACAATTATTGAGTAATGATCATAAATTCATTGGATATCCTGATCGATTTCATACAAAAGTACGCATTAAATCATTTTCTTATGATTCTAAATCGAATTTTAATGAACAACCCAGTCAAAATCGAATTCATGATAATAATCCTATACAATTATCAGATTCTAATAATTTAATACTTGGATTACCAGAAGATATGAACGTGGGAAGTCGAATCTATCGTGTCCAAGCGATTGATTATGACTCACTGGATTTTTCAAATATTATGAATCATAATCTCTATCAATCATATCAATCAATACATTCTAAAATTACTGTACATTATTTTATTGCACAAGAAACTGATCTTCGTGTAAAACATTATTTTCGTTTAGGTAAAGAAGATGGTTGGATCACATTAATACAACGATTAGATTATGAATCTGGTCCACGTCATTATATATTGCCTATTGTTGCAATCGATTTTGGACGTCCACAGTTGAGTAGTACATTAACACTTAGCTTACAAGTGTTAGATGTAAATGATGAAGCCCCAAGTATTACAATACGTGGTATTGAACTGACTAATAGTAATAATAATAATAATAACAATTATCAACATATTATTGGCCATTCAACAATGGATAGTTTTAATCCTAATCGTTTTCATGTATTAGCTGTAAGAGAAAATTCTCCAATTGGTACTTTTATTGCAAAAGTAAGTAGATAACTTGATGTGTGTATGAATAATGTTTGTTTTAATGTATCAATTAGTCAAGGTTGTTTCAAGAGTTAATTTTGAATGGATTTTTGTAATGGTTTTTTTTTCTCTATATAATTGACTATCTATTATTGATTATGAGAGGAAAAAATGTGACAACAACAACAGCAGTATATAAAAGACAATGGATGACATTTAACAGTAAATAGGATTTCATGAAGTAACGACTTTTAATAAGGACGTCTATTCTGATTCTTGTTATAAGGTACTATTATTTGAATAAACAACGAAATCAGTAGTCAATGAATACATAATCGTTCAAGATAAAATGCTTTTTTAAACAAAAATAAATAAATATATCTTCATTTGTTAAACAGTTTGTAAAGTTCGATCTTTCGTAGATTTTCACATAGCCTAACAGTTCCTAGCGTACTCAATCAACAGCAACGTAGAACTTCGTACGTACGCACGTACATCAGTTCATGTTGCCGTACCACATTAGCGCAGAGATGTAATTGTCAATTCAAATCCCATAGTAGTAGAATAAGTAAAGGTGTTAGCGGTTATCGGAGAGATTAGGGTTCGAAGATATTATTCAAGAAGTATAATTCAGTGAAATAGATTTGAGACGATAAAGATGAAGGTCATGAAGAGTTTAGATTAGAATTTAAGCGAACACAAGTAATGGATGCACCTGCACCATTGCAAACGGTTTTTTGCCATGTCATTCAGGTTCTCTAACCATCGATTACTATCATCTCTCGGATCCCAACCAGGTAGTCGACACTCACCGACATGACTCAGTCCACTTGTCAGTGACTTCATGGAGTTGTGCCATGTTTTAGTCTGACCGCCCCTAGCTTTCTTCCAACCCATTCCTAGACCACAAAATATAGCTTGACGAGGCAGTCGGTGGTTAGGCATACGCAGCACATGTCCCAACCACCTCAACTGATGAAGTTCCACTACTTCATCTATTGACCTGCCATCCTTACCTATCACCCGTTTCCTAACGATAGGATTGCTTACTCGGTTGTCCCACGATACACGAGCAATGCTTCTGAGACACCTATGATCGAAAACAAGCAACCTACAAATATCTTCTACTCTCACTGGCCATTTTGCACAGCCATAAAGTAGGACAGAGAGAACTACTGTGCAAAGCACTCGTCTTTTTGTTAGCGAACGGATATATCGCCTACGCCATAAGTGACGCAGGTTGACAAAAGTCAATCGAACCTTCTGTATCTATGATGAGATTTCGTCGGTCACTGATGAGACAGGAGACAGATAAGTGACGCGGTCAACACACTCGACTTCTTCACTCTCTATCACTAGTTCAGGGGCCTAGTGTACTATGACAGTATGAAAAGCAAAATATATATCAAAGAATCTAAATAAGAAAAGAATAAGAGAAAAGAATTTAAGTCAACAACACAGTTATCACATAGAATGTATGAACACTCCACCTTATGTAATTATTGAGATAGAGATTATTTGATGTCTGATTATTGATAAAACTACTCTTAAAATGTTAAATATTCAAACTCTGAATAAATTTTGAAGCTCGATAACTGGATCACTTGATAGTAGACATCATCAACTTGGTTTTACTTTCATAAGTCACTGGTATAACAGTAGAAATTGAAGTGGTATATATCAGTAACGATTCGTTTGTAATAGTGTTGATTTTATAAAGTATTTTCATTTCCTGAATATCTACTTTTGCTGGAAATAAGTAGTCATTCAAAGAATAGTTGTAGTAGGAAATAAATATTTCTTCCTTTTTTCAATTTTCTCGTTGAAACCTGACGGTGATTTCTTTTGAATCTTGGTCTAAAACACTTAAGATAGTAAAACTTGTGGTCCTGTCGCATTGACCTTCCTCAAAATCCTATGTTTAATCATAACATAATGGATAGATAACTCAATATTTTTATCAGAGTTGCGCATCACTGGATACCTTTGAAATGTCATTGGGTTGTTTTTACAATATATTTATCATTAAGCTACTTAATTTGAATTCAATAGTATAGCTGGTTTTCTTGCATTTCGTATGTTATCAAACAACAACAGGTATCCGCTAAAGATCGAGATACAGGAACTTCAGGTGAAGTAGAATGCTACCTAAGTGAAACAGATAACTTTGGTCGGAAGATTCATGAATCAGGTAGTTCATTTGGATCAGATTATTCAAAAGGCCTTCACAATTTCGCGTTACATCCAGTTGAAGATGATTCAATCCATTCAGCTACCATTTCAGACAACATTGAATCAACCCAATCGTCCAGTTATGTGCAACATTCACAATCAAATGTATTAGGACGTCATGATACTGAGTATATATTAATGACAAAGGCAATTTTAAATAGAGAAGTTAAAAATTCCTATTTTATCTACCTTACATGTCATGATAATGTTGAAAAAAAGCCATACTCAAATTATCCTTTACAAATCAATCATAATATACCTTCATCCGTTTTATCAAAACGTCTCTCCTCAACAAAATTACTAAAAATCAATATTTTAGACGAGAACGACAATGGACCACAATTTGATCGTTTACGTTATGAAGTGAAAATTTTCGAAAATTCCATTGAAAATACTGAATTAATTAAACTGAATGCTATTGATGAAGATGAAGAAAGTCAAACTGTTTATCGATTTGCTCAAATGAATGATTCATTTATACAAAATGATACAAATTTAAATTTAAGCCTAATCTATACACATTTTAAAATTGATTCAAAGTTTGGTTTAATTAAAACAACTAATGTACCGTTAGATAGAGAAATTAAAGATTCAATAGTAATACCAGTGATAGCTTATGATAATGAATTTCCTAGTAGAACATCCCATGCATGGATACATGTACAAATAGAAGATGTAAATGATAATATTCCAAAATTAATAGGGAATACAACATTTTGGATAGATGAAGAAGTTACAGTTATGGATTATTTAGTGAATGGTGTTAACCATGGTAGTAGTAGTAGTAGTAGTAGTAGTAGTGGTAGTAGTATTAGTAGTACAACCACTACTAATATAAGTACAAAACCATATCATTCAACAAATCATCATATATTTATTGGACGTTTACATGGGGAAGATGATGATATTGGCGAGAATGGGAAATTCCTCTTTAAATTAGCCTATGAAAATCAATACAACGCCAATACTCCAAAATGGTTTTTACGTACAGATGGCAATTTTTTTGTTCAATCAACTGGAGGAATTCAATCAAATCATGGATATAATTATGATAATTATTTAGATCGTGAAAAAAGACCATTTTATGAAATACCAATTATTATTAGTGATTTAGGCAAAATGCCTACTTCTTTATCATCCACTGCTACAATTACTGTTAGTTTAAGAGATGTGAATGATAATTCACCGAAATTTTTAAAACCTACTTTGGATTATTTAAATTCAAACATAAGTCATATTCTTACTGGTAATGATAAGCTACAATCAATGCCAAATCATTCCAAATTGAATATGTTCAATGTACCTAGTGAACGAATTAATCTCTTCAATATGGAGAATACAAATCCTGGGACATTGATTTATACAGTACATGCTGTCGACTTAGATGATGGTGAGAATGGTAAAATTATTTATAAACTGGAAGCTTATGAAGGATATTGGCAGCTGGCGTATAATTCATATCAGTTATCAAATAACATGAATCAGAGTAATCAGTCTTTAGATAGTTATTTTATTATTGATCAAATGTCTGGAGAAATACGAATTAATAAATTAATCACTGTTGATCATTTACAATCAGTACCGAAAAGTTTAATGATTATTGCCGAGGATTGTGGTATACCATCAAGAAAGAATTATGCACTTTTATATATTGATTTTATGAATGAAGAGGAAAGTAGACAAACAGTTAGCCAGAATTTTGATCTGTATGATAGTTCAATAGTGAAGAACAACAGAAACATGAAGACTAGTTTAAATTCTATTGATCGGCCAATTAATTCAACTGACTTCAATCAGAAAAATCAATATGCAGAATTGTATTCAAACAATCCTATCAAAACCAATAGTGGTAATAATAATAATAACAATAATCCACAATCAAAATTATTGAACATTGATCGGAGAAAACCGGGTCAACATTCAAATTCATTATTATCCACTTCTCGAATGAAGCATACTCAGCCAACCAATACGAAACTATCATTGTCATCGTTTCAATCACAGAATCGTCTCAATACTGATAATAATAACAACTTGGAGAAATTAATGTCAGCTTATCAAACTCCAGTCGATACTGATCAAATGGATATGACTAATTCATATCAAACTAGTACTGAATTGATTACTGGTTTAGGTATTGGATTAGTGATTATCATTTTAGTTTGTTTATTATTGTTGATTACTTATGCTTTACATGGTACACAAACTATTCGACTAGGCAGAAATGGAACAACTATCATTGATCGTCATAAATTTCATAATAACACTTTGAAACAACAACATCAACATAAAACTGGTGAGTTTATGTATGATATGATATGATATGATATGTATTTTATTTAGGGGACGTTAGATCCCTAGAACTCACTTGATAATGTTCCTAATTTTGAATCTTGTGTCTTTGAGCATTGGCTGATCGGCTGACCTTGAGATTAGTTTTTCCACCGGGAAAATCCTTGACTGTTAATGGTTGATGTATTATTTGAGTACGCTATTTTTGTGGCCCTCTCAAGGACGTTTCTGTTATGTATAAATAAACTTGACTTGTGTGTGCTTATGAACCTCGTATTTCTGGGTGCTTGTAGAATATACTCTCTACACCATATCGACTTTTTGATACTGTTAGTGGGGCTTTGAGACGCTTGGATTAGAGTAGCCTATTGTGTCAATGGATCATTTGTCTTCTCTCTCGCTTACCGACTAAGGTGAATTCGTAATAGTTCTAAGCATATCAGTTGACGAGCATAACAATTTTACGAAGGTTTACTGAGTAAAAATAGTTGACTACTTGAATCATCTATATGGTATATAGTTTTCAATGAAATAGAGATCAAAGTCTCATGATTAAACAATCCAGCTTGAAGTGAAGACAGTACTTTTAGAATTGTGGTGGTGTTTCGTTCTCTGAGCTGGTTGTTTTGGTTGTGGCGCTTTCATTGTTCTTCTGAACAATATCATCAGCACGAACTTCAGATAGAAGTGAAGCATTAGAATTTCTCCACGTTTGACCTGTAGCTTGTTCTGCTAACCTCGATCTTGATTGGTTGTTGTTGACATTTGACCTGTCGTTGTTTGCAACTACGTTTTGATTGCCTCCCTCTTTTGATCTGTTTCTTGATCTAGTGTCACCTATGATTTTCCTGATTGGTTGATAAATTGGGTCAATGTCGATGTGTTTGTTGATTGCTAATTGACCTGAGTGCCAAGCTTCTAAAAATTCTCTAGTATTCTTTGTCCTCCCCCTACCTAGTATTTCCACGTTGTTCCAATCAAATGTGTGTCCATAATTGTCGTTGTGTATTGATATAAGCGAAGCGTTGTCGTGGCGTTTGACTGCTAATTGATGTTCACGTAAACGGAGCTGAAGAGGTCGTCCACTTTGTCCTATGTAGTGTTTTTCACAGTTTGAGCAATTTATTTTGTAGATGGTATTTGGTTTTTCTTCCTTTGTCATTTTGTCCTGTGGTCTACATAGGATTGACTGAAGTGATTCTGTTGGTTTGTGTGCCACACCTATTCCAAATGGTTTCAGTAGTCGTGCCGTATGCTCCGATATGTCTTTGATGTATGGTAGGATGATGCGTTTATTTGTTCCTGTGCTTGATTTCACTTCTGATGATAGTTTTGGTTGATGTTTTTTGATGAAGTTGCGTGGATTTTTTTCATGTTCAGCTACTAATACACTGCATCATCTTAAGATTTTATAATCTTGATGTTTTGACTTCCTGGATATTAATCACAATAAAGAACTCTCAGAATAAACTTTCCAAATTCCATTCCTATATTCACTTAACTTGTGAATGTTCATGTTAAAGGATTGTTTGACAGTGATTAGGTGTCAGTTATTTCACAACATTTACTAGTAGTTTAACTCTTGCGCAATCTATTTATTTCACAAAGTTCATTGTTATTGTCTCTTACATCTTCAAAATACAGATGAGAAAGGAAGTAGAGAATTGTGTTACGGTGTTGTGAAAATTGTTAAGTGACGCATTTGAAATCATGAATCGATCATTGTTAGACCACCATTAGAAACCTGGAAGCACTGAACGGCCGTTTAGTCCTGGTATGAGACTCATCAGCAGTGCTCATCTACAACTCCTGCACCTCACAGGACTCCAACTCAGGACTTTCGGTCATGGAATCTGAGGGAAAATAAACAGTGGATCTAATGAGGATATTGTGAACACTTCTAAACCATTTCATCCCAAATCTCTTATCATTATTTATGATAATTGTTGAGATATGAATCCGATAGTTTGTATTTACGTACACAAGTTGATCCAGTAGTTACTGAATTCACAGACTGATTTCTCATTTCGATTTGACCACTGTTAGGTTTATTCACCTGCTGCTACATTAACTTTCCTACAGACTTAAAAAAATTCTGTTTATCGATTAGATCATTCACAACGTTTTCAGTGTTCTTTATCGATGTTATACTTTGGAGGTTTGATTATTTTTCGGTTCATTTAAAGACATTTTGTTGCGTATTGAAGAGTGCTATTTTCACTGAAGATTTCATTTCAAATTCATAGACTAATCTGTAATCATCTACTGTGAAAATATCAACTTAGCATATACAAACATGCCAGATGAAAAACATAAATATGGTGAACTTTAAAGTTCAAAATGAAAATCATACTCCAATATATATATATCATTCACTTACTTAATGGACGGATCAATAGATGAAAGTGGTGGATACCAAATACCTGGGAAACATTGAAAACAATGAGAATAATCTTACCTACAAATGCTAAAACGCTTAACCAAACATTTATCTATGTGTACATATATAAACTTATCAGTGATTAATTCATTTATATTGGTTGTTTGAACTTTCCTATTGATGTTTAGGACTGAAATTGATCAGTCTCCTTATCATGCGCAGATCCTGTATAGGCTGTTTAGATGATGCCTTTAGGTTACAAGCATTCATTATTAAGGGAGGTGAATAGTGACTAACAGTGGAATCCAGAAAGAGCGTTTCGTCCTAGAATTGAAAACTTGTTTGTATTATAATGTAGTTGGATTTTTAAAAATGTTCACATTATTTACTTGTTAATTATTGCGCAATAACGTACTACTTACCACTGTGTAATTCTTCTTTGTTTGAATAGATTTTTTATTCAATGATTTTTTTCAAAATTATGGTGATCTGTTAGTTATCTGTAATGTAAATCAGGTCAGAACTTAGTTGGAGCATTGAACAACAATAACGTTTGTAATAATCAATACTACACTGAATTCCAAAGCATCACTGGGACTAAAACTACTGAGTTCGAACTCATCGGTTAAATGATACAATGTTTATTTAAGTTTGATTATGACATGGGAAATTATAGAGTTACTCAGTAAAATCAGAAAACCATATCGTAAATCGTTCATTTGCAAAAGATTAGTTCATCCTATGGAACTGGACTGTTCCTGTTGCAAAACATCAATCCATTATGGTCACTATTCATGCGTTCCATACCAATTGCATTGTGTTCTTCTAACTCTTCCTTTCTTGATCTTCCCCCTAATCTTCTGCTGCCAGACATTACGTTGACACTCACGTCATATACTACTTATAGGTAGCTGGCACCACAATAGGTGTATTTTAATTGAGGAATTCCTTAATTAAAACCAATTACTTCATGGTAATAACACCAGCTTCTGATTCGCTTTCTACTCTCCAGGAATCGTCTATCAGTTCAGTACCAATGTAAAAATAGAAGATAGAAAGTATTAGTCAGTTAGCCAGTTACAACGTAGAACTGCGTACGTACGTACATCAGTTCAGGTTGTCATACCACATTAGCATAGAGACGAAATTGTCAATTCAAATCCCATAGTGGTAGAGATAGTAGAAGCAATACTGGCAATCGAGAATATTAGGGATGGAAGATATTATGCAAGAAGTATAATTCAGCGAGATAGCTTTAGAAAGAGAAACGCAGAAATGAAGACGAATTCAGAAGGTTAGGATTTCAGAGAACACAAAGAGTGGATGAACCTACGCAATTGCAAACGATTTTGAGCCAAGTCGTTCAAGGCTTATAACCATCGGTTACTTTCGTCTCGCGGACTCCAACCCGGTAGCCTACATCTACCAACATGACTCAGTCCACTTGTCAGTGACTTCATGCATTTGTGCCATGTTTTGCTTTGGCCGCCCCTAAATTTCTTCCAACCTATTCCTATACCAAAAAACATTGCTTGTTGAGGCAGTCAGTAATTGGGCATACGCAACACATGTTCCAGCCACCTCAACTGATGAAGTTTCACTACTTCATCTACTGATTTGCCATCCCTACCTAGAACTCGTTTCCTAACGATAGCATTGCTTATACGGTTGTTCCATGGTACACGAGCAATGCTTCTGAGACATCTGTGATCGGAGACTAGTAACCTACGAATATCCTCTACTCTTACCGACCATGTTTCGCATCCATATAGTAGCACGGAGCGAACTACTGCGCTGAACTCTCGTCCTTCGTTTAGCAGACGGATATCTCGCCTACGCCACATAAGTGAAGCAAGTTGGAAAAAGCCAATCGAGGCTTCTGTATCCGTGCTGAGGTTTCGTCACACACCAAGCTATCAACACTGATGAGACTCCCCAGATAAGTGGAGCAACTGACACGCTCAACTACTTCACTCCCTATCACCAGTACAGGTGTGAAATAAAATCACTTCGAAATTTAGTATATATTAAGACAACAATGTAGGTATATCTTTAATACTTCAAGTTTCCAGAATATTGTTAATTGCCCATCTTGACTAACCAACACATCATTCATTGTCTCTTAAGATCCTCTTCGAATTTTTTACAAAGAATATCAATTCATTAAATTACTACTGAAACATCCTAATACCAATATATTTTCAAATTTCACAATAATTCTTTATTTTCACGCAGATTTTTGGAGGTTTGTGTTTTTACACATTTGAAATCATCTTTATCAATCACTGTTAGACCACCATTAGAAACCTGGAAGCACTGGGAGACGGCCGTCTCGTCCTTGTATGGAACTCATGAGTAGTGCGCATCCACGACTCCTGCATCTGGCAGGATGCGAACCCGGGACCCTCGGTATTGATGATTTTAAATGTGTAAGAACACAAACCTGCAAAACTCTGCAAGAAAATATCGTAACAGTGCTCATTAGTGACTAGCTTCGTGAGGAAATTCTCAGAGTTCCAGTTGAGAAGACGTGACCAATGGAGTTCAACCCTGTCGGGTGTAGGCAGTAACTACTACCGAAGACAAATGGGTGAGGTCGCGCAAAATCACTAGATCAATCAGAGTTAGACATTAACACCGTGTGAATGGCAGCCCAGTGGTCCGATAATTAGGCATTCGCGCACAATAACAAAGGTAATGGGTTCGACTCCTGCCAGGTGCAGAAGTCGTGGATGCGTACTGCGGATGAGTCCCATACCAGGACTTGATGGCCGTCCAGTGCTCCCAGGTTTCTAATGGTAGTCTAACAATGATTGATTGATGATTTCAAATAATTCTTTAGAAATTTCAATGGAATTTTAATATAAGTTTATTTTTAAATAATTTTCCCTTTGTGTATATTTTTTTTCCGTGTCATTTATTGTAAACATTTACTTTTGTTTTTCAGTGATAAATAACAACAACAACAACATTAACAATCATAAAATAAACAATCAAATTAACGGAAAAAACACTGATCACATCAATCGATTAAAACAATTCTATCATGTTATACGATTGGCTATCAAGCCTAATCGTTCATTGGTAAGTAAATTGCTCATTGAGTAGGGGTTTGTCACATGACTAGTTCAAGTGAGATAATGATTATTCCTTCTTTTTTTTAAATGTCACTTTATCAGTAATGAGTTATGCTCATTGAAGAGATTTATTAATGATGAAGTGAACAAATATATGAGTGAGTGAGCGAGTGAGTGAATATAGAAGTGTGTTAAATTTATATTTCGAGGTTATAAATTCAAGACTGAGGTGGAAAACGTTGATCAGAGTTAGACATTAACACTGTTGGTCCAGAGGTTGGGTGTTCACGCGCAAGACCGAGTGTCCTAGGCTCGAATCCTGCAAGGTGCAGGAGTTTTGGATGCGCACTAATGATGAGTCCCACACCGGGACGAAACGGCCGTCTTTCAGTGCTTCCAAGTTTCTAATGGTGGTCTAACAATGATTGATTGATTGATTGATCGATGATTTCAATGGTGGACAAGATTTGTAGCTCAGGTGGATGATTGTGGTGGTGGTGTTTGGTTCTCTGAGCTGGATGTTTTGGTTGTGGAGCTTCCATTGTTCTTCTAAACAACATCATCAGCACAAACTTCTATCTGATAATTTCACTGTGTAAAATCACTAATATCCATAACTGCAAATGACAAAATATAAAGGCATGAAGGAGGTTTAATTCATACTAATGAAGAATGAACAGGTTTGTGTCTTGATTATAAAGCTTCAACTCATACTACTTTACAAACAGATTAATTTCAAAATGGATCATTCTGTATATATTTAGATTATTGAGTAACGATTAATCAATTAAAACTTCCTCAGTACAATCATAGGTCAATGGTAGCTGGAATAGATTACTGGAAAATTCATAAATTATGAAAACGGGTCACCTAGGTTCAAGTCTCATAAGTAAAAGTAGTTCCTTGAAGATCGTCGATAGGTTTTGCTGACAGATACAAACTGATAACACACTGATGCTTGCCAACTTGTAGTAAGCCCTGAGCTCATAGGGTTCGTCCTAACGTTTGGACAAATTAATTGGCACACTTACCTTTTGACCTTGTTAGTCATTCGGTCATATCTGCGTTGCTTTTATTTGTGTGTGTGAGCATGTCTATCTCGCTTATTACATGTCTGGCTTATTTTTATCTGACTATAAATTCTTAGTCAAGTTTAGTCCAATTGAGTTGGTTCCCTCAACTTCTCCCCTTCGCTAAACTTTTCTTTGCTTTGCTTCGCTTTGCTTGTATGCTTTTCGTTCTCATATTCTACATTAACATTTGTCCGAAATAAACTCATCCAACCTAATCCACATTCGGCTTCTCAATACCGCAGTTGCACAAACGGGGTTCGCCTAAGTATAGTATACGGAAACTGATGAGGAGATTTATTTCATAGTATATTTAAATGTTGATAAATATCGGGCCATGAGCCACCAAATTAGTTAGCCCTACACGAATCGAATAACGCAACAAAGTGGTGAGCCGGACATCGAATCTAACTCAGCTAACAAACTAACTTTGACCAGATAAAATCTATATTTATACTATTATTTTCCCTACTATTGATAATGGTACATTTTAAGATGTAAAAAGAGGTGAATTTCATATTGAACAGTCATTCAGTTGTTATTTTTGTTACAGTTAAGAAATTATATCATAATAACCAATGGACTGGGAGCAGAATGTCACATTCAAGTGTCAGAATGTTTATTTAATGTTATTAAAAACTGAAAACTTGTAAAACAAAATCCTTCATCACTTTGAACAGTTTATGGAGATGATGAGATGATCTAAGTTAGATGATTACAGAAAACTAGAAAGCCCCCAAAAAACAGCCATTTCGTCATAGTTTAAGACTTCTTCTCGGTAGAGTTTACCATGAAGAATCGAACCCAAAACTATTATATCTAGTTGGTGGCATCTAATAGCTACCCAATAGTTCTTGATTTTTAATGGTTAACTTATACGACCCCATAATACAAACTAAAAAGTTCCCATTAATGAAGATTAGTCGTTACATTTGTTGATAACATAGTAATAATCAATATCTTATATGTCTATTTCTTAGTGTTAATCGACTCAGTTACACTGTGGTCACACTTGATTAAATGACTTAATATTACATTTACTATGTTTTGATGTTAAGTTGTCGTTGAACATTTAACATGGATTCTTCATTTGACCTACACCTTTTCGTAGCCATAATTAAAACTGTCAATTATAAATGGTAACACTCATTATTCATTATAATAACGTTAAATCAATAAAATTTGTTAGCCTTAATACACCGATTTATTGGTTAATTCATGAAGATGTATAAATTTTCTGATCAATGAGATTTAAATGACTCGAGCATATAAAATATAAGTGTAATGATAGCTGAGTCGGTAATTCGAATAAATTTAGAAGCCACCGATCTATTCATCTTATACTCTTCTATTGTATTACCATTTTCTTCAGTTGACAAAATATACTTACAACTAATGTTATTATATGGTTCAAACCATGAAATGATATTAATTATACTCTCATTGGAAACCTGGAAGCACTGGGCCGTTTTATTCAAGTATGGGACCCCCAAGTAGGGCACATCCTCTACCCTAAACTTGGAAATCGAATTAAGGACCTTCTTTCTTGCACACGAACGCTCAGTCTTTAGACCACTAGCGTGTATCTAATGGTGTTAATGTCTGACTTCAATTAATTCAAGATATTCTGCAACCCTCATCCAATACCTTGTAGTGTACACTGGCGAGCGAATGAACGAAAGAATGAACGAAGCAGCGAATGAAACGAATGAAGCAACGTGAATTGGAGAAGGCTGTTGAGCCAACTCCCTGGATTACAATGCGAACGAATGGGCGAAGGAAGCGATGTGGAGAATGGCTAATGAGCCAACTCAAAGAAATGGGGCATGACTAAGAATATATACTCAGATAAAATAAGACAGATATGTGATCAACGAAATAGGCATGCACGCACATGAGTGAAAGTGACCAATGGTTGACAAGGTCAAATGACAAGTGGAACAAGACACATGGGCTCATACAAACCAGACAATAATAAGAACGGATGGGACATTTAAATTGTTGCAATACAAATGGCTTGGTTGAATAAATTAATCGAAAGGGCTTAACCATGTTAGATGTAAGCAAACTGGAATATATGTGGAGGCACTACAACCTCACACTCGACATGCATTAAACTCTACTGGCTACAGCTTGTCACTAAAACTTCAGCAGTGGGATATTAAGGTTAGTCACTAGTAGGCACATGATTATTGTTATGGTAAGCGTTGGTGGATAGAATCCTCACAAACTGATCATAAACAAACTACTATCGAAAGCCTAGAAGCATTGGATGGAGATTTATGAATAAGTATAGTTTGATGCTATAAGTGGTTAACAGGAATTCATATCATATACCTCTACTAAATGTTAATATGCATAGATTTAAAATACAGAACAACATGAACTGCCATAGAATTTTTAACACACTTGGTTAATATATAAACTATAAGGTAATGTTACGTCATCAAATACCAAGAATCCATTACTCTTATACTTCAAATGAAATAAGGCATAGTTGATTTTATGTTATGATAAGGATTATGAAATTAAAAATTTAATGTTTTTCAATGCATGATTTGTTTCACAAGTATATGCGCTAAAAAATTATAAACCGAGTATCTTAGCTTATCTGTTATCTACTCAACTTACTGATTTACTTACTCCTGTTACTGCCAATGGAGCATAGGCCGCCAGCCAGCATTTTCCTTTACAGTTCTATCCAGTTGCTGTTCATTATTTTGATGTCCATTTTCAATTCTCGGCGTAGTGTGTTCTTCAGTCTTCCTATTCTACTTTGGTCTTGAAGATTCCAAGTCGCAGCTTGCCTTGTAATGCAGTTAAGTGATTTACCCTAGCGCTTTTTCTTAATTTCTTTCTCAACTGGAGAAAGCTGATTTATTCTCTCCCACAGTAGGTTGTCTTCAAGTCTGCATCAAACCCACCTTGTTTAATAATGATGCTGTCCACATCTTCCAAAGCCTCCTTGGCAAGTGTGATTTGATTGGTACTTGCGTGTTATGTCGGAGGATCTTGCTTTTCCCTTGTGCATGTTGAGACCCACTGCTGCAGAAGTTGCTGTTACACTGACTATCTTAACCTGCGTTTGTTGCTGTGCATGGGATAGGAAAGCTAAATTATTTACAGTCTAAATCATCGGACCTGTCCACTCTATCAAGTGCTTCCCCTGAGAGGTTGACGTCTTCATGACCCAGTGTACCGTCAGAAGAAAGAAGTTTGAGAATAGACAAGTTTTTCTGACACCGGTCTTCACTTGGAACGGACCTGTAAGCGTCCCCCCATTCACTATTTCGCAGTTTAATCCATCATAATAATTCTGTTTGATATTCTCCAGTATACTGCAGTGTCGAGGAAGCCTCCATAATTTTGTCCTGTCCACGCTATCAAATGCTTTCTCTTAGTCGATAAAGTTGACATATTGTTGTAAATTCCAGTCTACTACTTGTTTAATAATGATCCGTAGTGTCGCGATTTGGTCGGTACGCCTGTTGATCTCGAAGTTGGGAGTCTACTGAAGCTTTCATTCGATTCTGAAACATTCTTCAGAAGACTTTGCTTGGTATTGAGAGGAAAGTAATGCCTCTGTAGTTCTCACGCTTCTAGATTTATTAAGTCAACTAAGAATAACTATTTAATTAACTGACCAATCGAACTATTCAGTAGAATCAAACTTTCAAACTAACATCAATTTGAACAACATAAATTGAAGGCGTAATAGTTAACTTAAATTTTCCTATTTTACAAATAAATTATTTTGCAATCTAAATGACAAAATTAAAATTATACGAAGTTGGATCAATTTTTTCGCAGTTTTATAATTCCGGAATTTTTTTAAAAAATTTAGAACTTTAAACTGTTAAACTAAGCGCGGCTTTTCTCAAAGAGAATCCCTATCTACCTGAAAGTTAAACATTCAATTGTTTTACTGAACAAATTTTTTTCATTCAAATAGATGTCGGCATCTTTGTTGTTTGTTTTTTTGGTGGTTCATTTAAATGACGTATGTTAATTAGACATTGGTGGTATAAGGGACTCTAGCGGTTAGAATTTCTAGCCTCCACTTAGATAGCCTGAGTTCAATTCTCCAAGCTGGTGTTTATTAAAAGTATGATATACTAATGACCTTGAACGGCCTATCAGCCAATCAGGAAACGCTAAGTAGTCATAAAACAATCAACAGCTAGAAGCTATAAAGTTGTAGTGGAATAGTATCTTTATCAACCATCCTTGAAGTGGAATGCAGAAGTTGAATTCGCCCAAGAAAATTCAGGCTAGTGTGTTATAAGTAAGGGTAATAACCCTATAGAGTTTCCGTCACCAACTGATTACAGCCATAATGCTAAAATGTTAGGGTTAGGTATAAAAAGTTAAGCTGGATTTCTGAGTTTAGTTTTTTCACATTAGAATGAGTGTTTTCATCACGAACTGTCATCATTCTTTGTCAGTCTACTGTTTATGAATCTAAAAAACTTAGAAAGGAAGAATGACATCCAACTTCACCATGCAACTTTGACAACACACTGGATCACAACAAGTACTTTAACATACAATTTGCCCCGAGAGTATTTATGTTCAGTAATTTGGCTGAAACACCATCTTAAGTTCAGTTTTTTGGGATCAAAATAAAATTTTTTTATTGATTTCAGGCGTTTTAAGAACCGTACATTACCAATTTCCGCTTAGTTAATAATAACAGTTATCTATCACTGTACGTCAAATTTCCCGCAAAATACATGAGGTGTTATTTTAATTCTGATTGGTTCACTCAAGGTAGTCATAAAATCATACTTTTACCTGGTGCTTTTTTATCCTGAGAATCTCATATTGTACCAAACATCTAATGCAGAATGAAACCAATATTATTATTACTACCACTATATGTTCTTACTAAATGACGATAGCATCTGTAGTTTCCTCCAGCCATGTTGGTTTTCTAAAAATTAGACATACTGCAAATATTTTCAACAATTTCTTATGAGTATCGTTATTATCATTAGGAAAGGACGTTTGCGGAATATTTTAAACTTAAAGTCAGTTTACATAACTATCCGACTTTAGCTAAACAACCACTGAAAATGCAAATTTCCAACACTCTTCATCCATGACTTCTCTAGCAATCAAGGCGAAGGTCTTCAGATTTCATGATGAACGCATTTAATTTTCTAAAAATATGGTATAACTACCGAAAATGACATTAAATCTTCATGCTATCAATCTGTTAACAGTTAAATTTATTGAAAATTGATCAGTGAGTATGATAATAAGACAGTAGACAAGGAATGTTCAGAAGTTTACAACAATAATATTTTCATTCGATAAATACTTTGAACATTTGAAATCATTAGTCAATCATTGTTAAACCACTATTAGAAACCTGTAAGCACTGAAAGACGACCGTTTCCTCCTGGTATGGGACTCGTAAGCAGTGCGCATCCACGACCCCCACACCTCGCAGGATTCGAGCCCGGGACCTTTGGTATTGTGCGCGAACGCCTAACCATTGGACCCCTGTGCCGGCATCTAACGGTGTTAATGTCTAACTCTGACTGATACTTTGAATACATTACACAAATCTTGATATTTTAATTGAAGGTAAATTTATATGCTATACTGACGATTACTTGTAATGTTTATGTAGTTAAACGTTTACTACTACACCCGCTGACTGATAATCAACTAATTTTTCGAATTTCGGATAAATTTTGGAAAAGGACATCAATTTTAAAACTTATCTAATATGTATATCTGTTTTTTTCAGAATAATCAATCAATGTCGAAAAGTATTGAAACTGTGAACTCATCGAAATCGTACACATTAAATCAAGATAAAAGTAAGTGTAGCCTTTGTGGCATTAGCTGGTATTGCTTAAATGTATTTTTGTCTTCTAAATGATCCTCCCAGGTTACGTGAATACGAAGTAACTTATTGCTCTAAAAGGGTTTTAGTAATCGTTATTTATCTGAAGGGATGTTATGAAGATTGCATTAATTTGCAAATTGTATTCTTTACAGATTATTCTTAATTTGAATATCATTTAAAACACCAGAACACTGAATAGATACTTAATTCTAGTATGGTACTCCTCAGCAGTAAATACACATGACCTCGTTAGAGATCTAACTCTGGACTTCCTAGTTTAAAGGTGAATAGTTAATCAATTAAAACCACTAGAATGGAGCCGTATTGTACAATTACAACTTTAATCAATCTTCGTTTCTGTTGTTTGTTAGTTTGTGGATGAGCAACGCTATGAAGTCACATACTAGAATAAAGCACTTATTCAGTGCCTCATGATTTTCAATGGTATCCCAATTGAGATCTATCTTTGAGGGTGTGTAACCGTTTTTAGCTCCCATAAAAATTGATTAACTTAATTAAAACATGCAGTGAATCGTTGAATGTGTGTTAAACTTGTAACCTTGAATTTCCCATTTATTGAACTAATCTGTAAAGTTCATTTATAATCAAGGTAATATATAATCACTCAGTCAGTCAGTCAGTTAGTTACAACGTAGAACTTCGTACGTAAGTACATCAGTTCATGGTGCCATACCAGATTAGCACACAGACACAACTGTCAACTCAAATCCCATAGTGGTAGAGATAGTGGAAGAATTGCTGCTAATCGATAAGATTAGGATTTGAAGATAATATTCAAGAAGTATAATTCAGTGAGATGAATTAAGAAGGACGAAGGTAGAAGTGTTGACGAATCCAGAAGATTAGGATTTGAGAGAACACAGTGAGTGGATGCACCTGCGCAATTCCAGACGATTTTGAGCCATGTCGTTCAAGGTCTCTAACCATTGGTGACCTTCGTCTCGCGGACCCCAACCAGGTAGCCTACATCTACCAACACGACTCAGTCCGCCTGTTGATGATTTCATGAATTTGTGCCATGTTTTGCTTTGGCTGCCCCAAAATTTCTTCCATCCTACTCCTACACCACAAAACATAGCTCGTCGCGGCAGTCGGTGGTTAGGCATACGTAACGGCAAACGAGACCAAATTGGTCAAAATCAAATTCTTCTCACACCCTCTCATATTTATTCAAGACCATGTTCATAGTTCCATATCGATTTAATCAACAAAACTATCTTAAATCCTTTAACTTAGAAGGAGAGGACTTAAACTATACCAATAACCTTGTGCTCTCCTGTTCTAAACTATCCTTGTCCGAATGAATTACTAATAACGTTGATAACGTTTTTTATTTTACAGATAAATCATACAATCATATACTCGATATGAAAATGGATATACCACCATTATCTAGTGATTGGGAAAGTGTTCATAGTGAATTCCCACCAACAAATCCAATGCATAAACAAATTATTAATAATAATAGTCAAAAGTTTAATTATGCTAATAAAAATTCATTCAATCATCAATGTATGTATCCACAAATTAACACATTTATACCTGTAATAAATTCTGTTGAAATGAATACAATGTCTAAACAAGATAATTGTGACATGACTAATACAATTAATCACAAACCGAATCCAATTTTACAAACAAATATATCACAAAATGAGTCACAAACAGAATTTCATAACGATAATCATGAATCCAACATGAATTGTTATCCACGTATTTATACTGTATGTACAAATGGTATTCAACCACAACCAGATTATATGACATTAAATCTATCATCAGATAATCATAGTCATTATGTGATGAAACATTTGATATCGAAAAATAATTGTCATTTCTTGACAAATCATATAGGTTGTCAGAAATCTTCAATGACAATGCCAAAAATCTCATTTCCCCCTATTGATGATACTTACGCGCATCAACATCATCATGAGTTGTTGATGAATACATCAACTGGATCACATCCTCATTCTGTTCTTCTTAATACTACTACTACACTTCCTCTTCCTCATCCTCCACCGTCTTCTTCATCATCTCCTGTTTCGACTTCTATGCATTATTGTACTTCGCCAACATTACAGTATTGTCGAATATCATCAACAATGAATAACAATCATAATAATACTACTACTACTAATAATAATAGTAATCCATCGAAATTATTATTAAAAAATTGTACAAATGAACAAAATTTAATCAATTTACCAATGGATAAAAATCAAATCAATTTAGCTAAAAGTACAGGACAAATAGATAAGATAATTAATGATATAAATCAACAAAATAATCATAATAATAATGATAATGATTATATTGTTGAGGATTGTTTCAAAGCGAATTCTTTGAAATCGGGTAGTTTTGTATGATAATACTGCTACCACTACTAACTACTACTACCACTTCTAATATTATTCACACTACTACCACTACTACTAATATTACTACTACTACTACTACTACTACTTCTAAGACTACTTGCACTACTACTCCTACTGCTGCAATTACTCAGACTACTACTACTACTACGACTACTATTCCTCCTCCTCCTCATACTACTACTACTACTACTACTACTACTACTACTACTACTACTACTACTACTACTACTACTACTACTACTACTACTTTCACCACGGGCACTACTATTACCACTCACTACTACTACTTCTATTACTACTCACACTACTACTACTACTACTGCTACCACTATTCATAATGATAATAATTATCATTATGACCTTGTTATTGTGAACCAACACAATACATTTCTGCACTGCTTGAACTCATGCTCAATCAGTTACGTAATTCAGAGCAAAGAAAAACGAAAAAATCTAGTTTTTAAAAAAAGAACATTGATTAAATTGATAAGTTGTATGTATTATTCTAAACAAAAAACAAACTTCAATGATCAATGTGTCCACAGGAGTGTTTCATTTTTTTTTAATTTTACTTACCTCCTTCTTTCTTGCCTACTTACTGAACATTGAAATTTTACTCTTTTAATGAAGATGAAAATAAATGAACACTTTCCTCATTTTTTTTTCTTTAATCTAATGATATATATACCTAAATATACATAATATATTTTCAATTTTAAATGAAAATACATTTTTATGCTTATGTGGTTGTTTACATTTCTTGCATTCACAATGTTGTTGTTTTTATTGTAAAATATGATTCTCTGCAATGATAATGAATATTTTTGAAACGTCTTGTTTTGCACTGCACTTGTTAAAATACTTAATTTATTTTGGTTCTCATGTAGCATGTACACAACGGACTAGTATCAATAAATAATCTATGCATAAAGTGTATAGATTAGATAGGAATAGAGGAAACCAGTACTTGGTAAATAAGAAATATATTATACAAATTTCACTTAGTGGTGCAGTGAGCTGAAGGAATGCGACTAGAGTTAGTCGTAGAGATAAGAGAGGGGTAATTGGGGGTGTAAGAAGGATTTGATAGTGACCAATTTTTGGTCTCGCGTGCTGTTATGGGTATGAGGGCGGTTGTCACTTTCCGGCTGCCCACACCGTGGAAGGTTGTTTCTTGAGGGACCTGAAAAGGAAGATAGATTAGTGTTGGTCTTAGAGACCTGGGAGCGTGGCTGCAGAGCCCAGGGGACAACTGCTTGAGGCCGGTCACGCACGGCCTTTTTATTAAAGGTTTTCTGAGTATTATCTCCGCTCTTGAAAGCCCTTAATGGGAACCCTTACCCAAGGAGACGGAAATCCGTGAGGTAGGGTGAGGTGTGAAATTTTCACGGTCGACTTTTTCCAACCCTTCCTTCCTTGTGAGAAGGCAACATCGCTGCAGATGCTGGTTGTCCGAGGGAAACACCTTACTGCTGTCTTACGTCTCTGCAGTCAGCACTACGACTTCGCCCTCAGACCTTGAGTAGCTGGTTTCAGTCTCATCGTACTCCAATCGAGATGACTGACATGGTAGAACCTTCAGGAACGTATGTTCCAGCCAGTATAGCTCGGTTGGGTCATCACGATAGGCAAGCCCGACCACCATGTCAAGGTAGCAGCTACGGTCGGGACAAATTTCACTTATCGAATAATTTGCATTCTATAATTTCTATATATTCACATTACATTTTTAATTAGTCATTTTATCTACATAAACAATAGAATATGCATACTGTACTTGCATTAATTAAGATATGACTTGATATCGGCAGATGGAATGATAACCTAGTGACGCAGCAACAGGAGCGCTAAGCTATTTATTCTCTGCGGTCCAACTAACCTAACTAAAGCATGATGTTCAAAGTCAGCAGAAAGAAAGTATCATCCACAAGTAGCCCCGAACGAACGATTAACAGGTTTTCAATTCAAGTGTTATATATATGTACAGTACAGAAAGCATCATTGGAAGAGTTAAGAAGTACTCCACTAAAAGATAAAACTAACCAATGACGTCTAAGGTGCTTCTAAGAGGGAAACACAAACTAAAGGTAATAAGGAGCGTTTTTAGCGCTAAAAATAAGAAATTCAAACTTCCGAAAATAAATCGCAATATTAAGTGGTTTTCTAAGCGACTTCTGGAGATCTAGAAATGTTAACTGTGTGCCATGTAACCAACTCTACATTTATTAGCTAATTTCTGAATAAAAATACATTGAAAATGCTATACTGTAAGTTTACGCATGAAATTAATTAAGTTGTCAATCAGTTTCAGGGAAATTCAGTTGGTTAAGCATAGCTAGCTAATACACCGTAGAATATCGATGTTAAATCATAAAATGTAAATGAGAATAATAAGTTTTTCATTTATTTATAGTATCATTGGTATTATATACCAATAAGAGTTCCTTAACTTCAATTGTGTACGTTTTGGTCAAATACTGCTACTTTGTAAACTTAGATTTAGTGTTTCAATCAATAATATACTTTATACCTGTCAGTAGTCGCTTGCCCTCATAGCCTATAATTGTGTAATACTAAAGTAATAAAAGTGAATGAAACTAATATGCATTTCAATATCTAGTGATCGATAAAAATAGCTAACAACGTATCATTCATAGGATAACCATTCATTTTGATCATTAGCACTGTTCGACTATAGTTTATGAACAAACTAATTTGGATTTCATTGAGAAATTCACGATCTGGACTTCGCCGACAATCTGATTCTTCTATCACACACGCAAGAACAAATGCAGGAGAATACGACCAGTGTAGCAACAGACTCTGAAGTAGCAGGTCTCAACATAAATAAAGAGAAAAGCAAGATTCTACGATACAACACAACATGCACAAACCACATCACTTTTGATGGGAACGTAAAAACCGTTACATATCTGGGCAGCGAAATTGATATTCACAGTAGATCTGTTGCAGATGTGAAGACGTGTATCGGCAAAGCAGGGGCCGCATTTTTACAAGTGAACAACATTTGGAACTCAAAACAACTATCAACAAACACCGAACTCAAAAGTTTCAATGCAAATGTCAAGATAGTTCTACTGTATGGGGCCGAGACTTGCAAAACTATCAAAGCCAATATCCACAAGATGCAAGTATATATTAACAGTTGTCTACACAAAATACTTCGGATCCATTGACCAGAAACCATCAGCAACAACCTACTGTGGGGAAGAACAAACCAGATTCCGGTGGAGGAGGGAATCAGGAAGAAGCGGTGGAAGTGTACAGGACATACACTGGCGAAAGCTCCCAACAGCAGCACCAGGAAAAACTTAACTTAGAACCCACATTGTCAAAGGATAAAAGGAAGGCTAAATAAAAATATTATGTAGGGAAATGGGACAGAGATCGATAGAGATATGATCAGCGAACCTGAAACAGAACTAAGAGTTAGATAGCATGATGAGTATTGTGCTTTGTGGCAACTTACGATATAGCAATTTCAACATTATAATTGTTTAGAAAGCTTTTCTACTACGAACAGTATCTATGCCAATTAAATAGACTGAACAACTAATTCACAACAACATTTGAATGTCAATAATTCACAATCGAATGAGAGAAAGAGTGTAAGAGGGAGAGAGGCGGAAATTTCACGATAGTATGTATTACGCTTAGCAAAAGTAAGAATTCTAATGAAACAACTCTGTTCAAGTTCTGACAACAATGTTTTCGAAGGCTATGATGAAAATGACAAACTAAAAGAGAGAACAACCAATCAGATTATGAGAAAAGTCAGTGCCGAGAATTATCATTCGTTAAAACAAAAGATATAATCATATGGCGCCTTCCTAATAACCCCATACATTTCATATTGAACGTTGAATATTTTCCTAACATTTCTTTACATTGTACATAGATTTATTGATATAATTTGATCGTTAATGAATGACTTCACAAGAAAATAATCAATTTTGAAGTTCTGAAAAATCTCAAGATCTACTATACAATTCAAGAAAAAAAATTCAATTCAACTCATATGACAATTAAAATGACAAGAAATGATTTAAGTTTCATAGTAAATTTAAAAAGAAGGAGTGTCTTAATCAATTTCCCATGTCCTTTGGGATTTTTCCCTTTTATTTATTAGAAAAAATGTGTTTTTATCATGGGAGTTTTTCGTTTCTTCGATTCAATTATGGATTAAACGGTGGATTGATGCTTAATGAAAACATTTTAATAAAACTGATGAGAAAAAATATGATACTTGCAAAACAATAGATTAAAACTGTTATACTGATTGACTGAAACGTAAGCTTAACTGTCAGGTTTTAATTGACTGAAAAATGAATGACCTACAGGCAAATTTCCTCCAGTCACATATGACATTTTATTATATTTATTGCATAGTTCATAATTTGCATATGTCGTGACAAAATGCAGAGTCTTCTGACTACCATAAGCAACATTGCAATCATGTTCGGGATGCGGTTCTCACCCTGAAAATGCAAAATATTGCTTCAAGATTGGCTTGTATCGGCACCCGAACTAGTGATAGGGAGTGAATTAGTCGAACGTGTAGAACGTTTCACGTATCTGGGGGGTCTCACTAGTGCTGATAGCCTGGTGATTGATGAAAGCTCAGCTCGGATACAGTAAGGTCGATCCTGCGAGGTGCCGGAGTCGTGGATGCGCACTGCTGATGAGTCCCATATACCAGGAAGAAACGGCCGTCCAGTGCTTCCAGATTTCTAATGATGGTCTAACATTGATCGACTCATGGTTTCAAAAATGTGTAACTTAACAATCTTCACAACCCCGTAATGTTAATCAAATCTCTAAATAAGAAAATGATCAACATTCAATAATCAAAAAATGAAAACAAATTTATTTGATGTGTTATTTTAATATGATTATTGCTATTTTCTCTTGTGATTAAATTCAATGATGTCAAATCATTCACAAAGATTAAATAGTTTGATTTAAAA